CCCACCCCTCTGACCCCAACCCCCCAAAGCAAAGTAACACGTACACCTGCCTTCCTAAACAATGAAGCAGATCCTCACAAACAGGCCCTATCAAAACCAAAGGTTAGTTGCATACAAGTAAGTTACAACACACAAGCCCTCCTCAAAATAAAGTAGGATCTCACCCACTGGCCCTGCTCAGCACAAAAGTAAATCCACAATATAATACACAAGCCCGGTTTAACGCAATGATAGGTCATCAAACAGGGACCTCCTCAACATGATTATGTACATTTTGTTTTTACCACAAATACCCATGAGTTTATACCTCAATTTAAACTCAATGCAAACTTAAGTTCGTAAACAAAGGTCTCAAGCACAAACATGATAGAAGGTTCTCACATCTGTCCCTCCTCAACACAAGAACAAAAGTTTTCCCACACCAGTTAGTCTTCCCTTTCAGGCCCTCAACACCAAAGTTAATATGTAATTTCTCACTGGCCTCTATGCAATCTCAACACAAAAGTGATTTATTGCACACAGGTCCTCTTCAACAACAAAAAAGGTTCTCGTACAAATGGTTCATCATCAGTCCTGGGCCATGCATACCTACAAAATCCATGGGTTCCCCCCCCCCCCCCCCCCCCCCCCCCCCCCCCCCCNCACCTTTGGAATTTGTCATGACAAAATTATAGGCTCTTTACACAAAACCATTTGGATGATACAAGATGAAGAGAAATGTCTCTACATAAGGTTGAAGACAGCTCTCAGCTCTTGAAACAAGTTAGAATAAAGAAGTAGATTACTCGTGTGTTGTCTAATAGAGTTGGGATGTAAAGAGACGGTGCTGAAATGTAACAGACTTTACAGTGGGTATAGCTCCTCAGACTTTACAGTGAATGTAGCTCCTCAGACTTTACAGTGAGTGTAGCTCCTCAGACTTTACAGTGGGTGTAGCTCCTCAGACTTAACAGTGAGTGTAGCTCCTCAGACTTTACAGTGGGTGTAGCTCCTCAGACTTAATAGTGGGTGTAGCTCCTCAGACTTTACAGTGGGTGTAGCTCCTCAGACTTTACAGTGGGTGTAGCTCCGCAGACTTTACAGTGGGTGTAGCTCCGCAGACTTTACAATGGGTGTAGCTCCTCAGACTTTACAGTGGGTGTAACTCCGCAGACTTTACAGTGAGTGAAGCTCCTCAGACTTTACAGTGGGCGTAGGTCACCAGATTTTACAGTTGGTGGAGCTCCTCAGACTTTACAGTGTGTGTAGCTCCTCAGACTTTACAGTGGGAGTAGCTCCTCAGACTTTACAGTGAGGGTAGCTCCTCAGACTTTACAGTGAGTGGAGCTCCTCAGACTTTACAGTGGGTGTAGTTCCTCAGACTTTACAGTGGTTGTAGCTCCACATACTTTACAGTGGGTGTAGCTCCGCAGACTTTCCAGTGGGTGTAGCTCCTCAGACTTTATAGTGAGTGTAGCTCCTCAGACTTTACAGTGGTTGTAGCTCCACATACTTTACAGTGGGTGTAGCTCCTCACTCCTCAGACTTTACGGTGGGCGTTAGTCAACAAACTTTACAGTGGGTGTAGCTCCTCACTAATAGAGTTGGGAGGTAAAGAGACGGTGCTGAACTGTAACAGACTTTACAGTGGGTATAGCTCCGCAGACTTTACAGTGGGTGTAACTCCTCAGTCTTTACAGTGGGTGTAGTTCCTCAGACTTTACAGTGGTTGTAGCTCCGCAGACTTTACAGTGGTAGTAGCTCCTCAGACTTAACAGTGAGTGTAGCTTCTCAGACTTTCCAGTGGGTGTAGCTCCTCAGCCTTTACAGTGAGGGTAGCTCCTCAGACTTTACAGTGGGGGTAGCTCCTAAAACTTTACAGTGGGCGTAAGTCCACAGATTTTACAGTTGGTGGAGCTCCTCAGACTTTACGGTGGGTGTAACTCCTCAGACTTTACAGCGGGTGTAGCTCCTCAGACTTTACAGAGGGGGGAACTCCGCAGACTTTACAGTGAGTGAAGCTCCTCAGACTTTACAGTGGGCGTAACTCAACAGATTTTACAGTTGGTGGAGCTCCTCAGACTTTACGGTGGGTGTAGCTCATCAGACTTTACAGTGAGTGTAGCTCCTCCGTCTTTACAGTGGGTGTAGCTCCAAAGACTTTACTGTGGTACTAGCTCCTCAGACTTAACAGTGAGTGTAGCTTCTCAGACTTTCCAGTGGGTGTAGCTCCGCAGACTTTCCAGTGGGTGTAGCTCCTCAGACTTTGCAGTGGGTGTAGCTCCGCAGACTTTTCAGTGAGTGTAGCCCCTGAGACTTTACAGTGAGTGTAACTCCTCAGACTTTACAGTGTGTGTAGCTCCTCAGACTTTACAGTGGTTGTAGCTCCACATACTTTACAGTGGGTGTAGCTCCTCACTAATAGAGTTGGGATGTAAAGAGACGGTGCTGAAATGTAACAGACTTTACAGTGGGTATAGCTCCTCAGACTTTACAGTGAATGTAGCTCCTCAGCCTTTGCAGTGGGTGTAGCTCCTCAGATTTTACAGTGGGTGTAGCTCCTCAGACTTACTAGTGGGGGAAGCTAATCAGACTTTACAGTGGTTGTAGCTCCACATACTTTACAGTGGGTGTAGCTCCTCACTAATAGAGTTGGGAGGTAAAGAGACGGTGCTGAACTGTAACAGACTTTACAGTGGGTATAGCTCCTCAGACTTTACAGTGGGTGTTGCTCCGCAGACTTTACAGTGGGTGTAGCGCCTCAGACTTAATAGTGGGTGTAGCTCCTCAGACTTTACAGTGGGCGTGAGTCAACAGATTTTACACTTGGTGAAGCTCCTCAGACTTTACAGTGGGTGTAGCTCCTCAGACTTTACAGTGGGCGTAAGTCAACAGATTTTACAGTTGGTGGAGCTCCTCAGACTTTACAGTGGGTGTAGCTCCTAAGACTTTACAGTGAATGTAGCTCCTCAGACTTTGCAGTGGGTGTAGCTCCTCAGATTTTCCAGTGGGTGTAGCCCCTCAGACTTTACAGTGGGTGTTGCTCCTCAGATCTTACAATGGGTGTAGCTCCTCGGACTTTACAGTGGGTGTAGCTCCTCAGACTTTACAGTGGGCGTTAGTCAACAGACTTTACACTTGGTGTAGCTCCTTAGACTTTACATTGGGTGTAGCTCCTAAAACTTTACAGTGGGTGTAGGTCCTCAGACTTTACAATGGGTGTATGTCAACAGGCTTTACAATGGGTGTAAGTTAACATACTTTACAGTGGGTGTAGCTCCTCAGACTTTACAGTGGGTGTAGCCCTCAGATTTTACAGTTGGTGTAGCTCCTCAGACCTTTCAGTGCACCTGGGTGTAAGTCAACAGGCTTTACAGTGGCTGTAAGTCAACAGACTTTACAGTGGGTGTAGCTCCTCAAACTTTACAGTGGGTGTAGCTCTTCAGACTTTACAGTGGGTGTAGCTCCTCAGACTTACAGTGGGTGTAAGTCAACAGACTATACACTCGGTGTAGTTCCTCAGACTTTACAGTGGGTGAAGCCCCTCTGTAACAGGAAAGTGGACAGGCTTTACAGTGAGTGTAGCTCCTCAGACATTACAGTGGGTGTAGCTCCTAAGACTTTGCAGTTGGTGTAGCTCCTCAGACCTTTCAGTGCACGTGGGTGTAAGTCAACAGGCTTTACAGTGGGTGTAAGTCAACAGACTTTACAGTGGGTGTAGCTCCTCAGACTTTACAGTGGGCGTTAGTCAACAGACTATACACTCGGTGTAGCTCCTCAGACATTACAGTGGGTGTAGTTCCTCAGACTTTACAGTGGGTGTAGTTCCTCAGACTTTACAGTGGGTGTAGCCCCTCTGTAACAGGAAAGTCGACAGGCTTTACAGTGGGTGTAGCTCCTCAGACTTTACAGTGGGTGTAGTTCCTCAGACTTTACACTGGGTGTAGCCCCTCTGTAACAGGAAAGTCGGGGTGTAGCTCCTCAGACTTTACAGTGAGTGTAGTCAACAGGCTTTACAGTGGGTGTAAGTCAACAGGCTTTACAGTGGGTGTAGCTTTGCAGACTTTACAGTGGGTGTAAGTCAACAGGCTTTACAGTGGGTGTAAGTTGACAGGCTTTACAGTGGGAGTAAGTCAACAGGCTTTACAGTGGGGGTAAGTCAACAGACTTTACAGTGGGTGTAGGTCCTCAGACTTTACAGTGGGTGTAAGTCACCAGACTTTACAGTGGGTGTAGCTCCTCAGACTTTAACAGTGGGCGTTAGTCAACAAACTTTACAGTGGGGGTAGCTCCTCAGACTTTACAGTGGGAGTAAGTCAACAGACTTTACAGTGGGTGCAAGTCAACAGACTTTACAGTGGGTGTAAGTCAACAGGCTTTACAGTGGGTGTAAGTTGACAGGCTTTACAGTGGGTGTAAGTCAACAGACTTTACAGTGGGTGCAAGTCAACAGACTTTACAGTGGGTGTAGCTCCTCAGACTTTAACAGTGGGCGTTAGTCAACAAACTTTACAGTGGGTGTAGCTCCTCAGACTTTACAGTGGGTGTAAGTCAACAGACTATACAATCGGTGTAAGTCAACAAGCTTTACATTGGGTGTATGTCAACAGACTTTACAGTGGGTGTAGCTCCTCAGACTTTACAGTGGGCGTTAGTCAACAGACTTTACAGTGGGCGTTAGTCAACAGACTTTACAGTGGGTGTAAGTCAACAGGTTTTACAGTGGGTGTAGCTCCTCAGACTTTACAGTGGGTGTTAGTCAACAGACTGGACAGTGTGCTTTAGTCAACAGACTTTACAGTGGGTGTAAGTCAACAGGCTTTACAGTGGGTGTAGCTCCTCATACTTTACAGTGGGTGTTAGTCAACAGACTTTACAGTGGGCGTTAGTCAACAGACTTTACAGTGGGTGTAAGTCATCAGACTTTACAGTGGGTGTAAGTCAACAGACATTACAGCGGGTTTAGCTCCTCAGACTTTACAGTGGGTGTAAGTCAACAGACTTTACAATCGGTGTAAGTCAACAAGCTTTACATTGGGTGTATGTCAACAGACTTTACAGTGGGTGTAGCTCCTCAGACTTTACAGTGGGTGTAAGTCAACAGACTTTACAATCGGTGTAAGTCAACAGGCTTTACAGTGGGTGTAAGTCGACAGGCTTTACAGTGGGTGTAAGGCGACAGGATTTACAGTGGGTATAAGTCGACAGGCTTTACAAGTTTACAGTGGGTGACCGTGTAAGTCGACAGGCTTTACAAGTTTACAGTGGGTGACCGTGTAAGTCGACAGGCTTTACAGTGGGTGTTAGGCGACAGGCTTTACAGTGAGTGACCGTGTAAGTTGACAGGCTTTACAGTGGGTGTAAGTCAACAGGCTTTACAGTGGGGGTAGCTTCGCAGACTTTACAGTGGGTGTAGCTTTTCAGACTTTACAGTGGGTGTAAGTCGACAGGCTTTACAGTGATTGTAGCTTCGCAGACTTTACAATGGGTGTAGCTCCTCAGACTTTACAGTGGGTGTAAGTCGACAGGCTTTACAGTGGGTGTAAGTCGACAGGCTTTACACTGGGTGTAGCTTTTCAGACTTTACAGTGGGGGTAGCCCCTCTGTAACAGGAAAGTCAACAGGCTTTACATTGGGGGTAGCCCCTCTGTAACAGGAAAGTCGACAGGCTTTACAGTGGGTATAGCTCCTCAGGCTTTCCAGTAGGTGTAGCCCCTCTGTAAGCTTGAATGACAAGAATCAGCCTAGCAATTGGTCAGGTGATCATATCTGAAACCATTCTGATAGTTTACAGCGAGCACTCAATTTTATCATGACATGTTTACAGCGAGCACTCAATTTTATCATGACATGTTTACAGCGAGCATTCAATTTTATCATGACATATTCTAATGGTGCAGAGAAGAAATTTGTATTGAGAGTAAACTTTGAAGAGGTTCAGCAGTTTTTGTACAAACACATGTATACAAATTTACGTAAGAATTTCTAAGGGTCATACTTTCAAGAACACATATCCAAAATAAGTAGACGAGGCGATTCAGTGTCAGTCATCAATAGTTAAATGATTGTGTATTTAGTCTCAGAACCTAGTTTTAACATCATGATTACTAATCAAAAGAACAAACTCATTAATTTGGAGTTACAGTGAGATCGTTTGCTAAATAATCAATAACATTGTTTTAATGTTTGTTTTTTGTAATTATCCATTTCAATGTGTAATTCAAACTACAAACTTGCATGTTTATATGATGTGTGTGTAATAGAAGGTCTGAAACGCTTTGTTACAGGAGATTATATTGGTGGATTTAACTTCCATGTCAGTGATGGTGTCAATGGGAACAGTCGACCAAGAAGATTTGAAGTTCGTGCCCGAGCCCTCATGTTGGAACTAGTCAACAACCGGCAGCTCAACGTCTACCCTGGTCAGATTAAACAAATCACCAAAGATCACTTGTACACTCGCACAAATGACCCAAACCAGGAGCGACCCATCCTGTATAACCTGGCGTCAAGCCCACGTAAAGGACGCATGGTGACCATGTTCAAGGATCGTGCCGTGGAAGTACAGTCCTTCCAGCAGGAGGACATAAACAATGGTAACATCTTCTATGAACACACTGGTACAGTGTATGGCTGGTCACAGGTTGACCTGTTTTTCTTTGAGGTCTCCACTCTCTATGCAGACTCCCTTTCTGATGAGATGTTTGATATCAGTGTGTCATACCGACATCTGGCAGAAGGGGAGATAAGTGATCTCATTCAAGTCAGTGACGTTGCTGTAGGAGAAGGAGAGATGGTGGCGTTAAGTCGTGACAATCTTGATGTCTCCAGTTACTTACAGCAGCTCCAGCACGATGGTAGGCGGGCCTCTATTGAGTATGTCTTAGATACTCTCCCACGACATGGCACGCTAGAGATGGATGGTCAGTCACTCAGGATGGGCCAAATATTTCAACAAGAGAAAATTGACTCTGGAAAAATAACATACGATCATGATGATTCAGACACTTTACTAGACTCATTCACTGTGATACTGAACATACAAAATCTGGATGAGGAAGACCGTCAAACGGATGAGGAGATCAGATTGACGGTAAACATAACAATTGAGCCATTAAATGATGAGAGGTTTGAGGTGATAACACGTGAGCCGGAGATCAGTGTGGTGCAGGGCCTTCAGGCCTACATCACCAGTGATGACCTCAAGACTATAGACCCCGACACCCAGCCACAGGAAATAGTGTATGATGTCACTGCACCCCCTCAGAATGGATTCATCTCCTACATAGCCTCCGCAGACACACCCATCTCCAGATTTTCACAAAAGGATGTCGATGATAGGAAAATAATTTTCAGTCATGACGGCAGTGGTGGTAGTTCGAGCTTCCGGTTGCGAGTGTCAGATGGAGCTTTCCCAGCCATGTCAAAAGTGTTTGTTATTAATGTTATACCCATGACTTTAGACTTCGTCGGAAACAAGACGGCTTGGTTACTACAAGGACAAAGCCAGGTCAGGTTGGGTGCAGATGTGATCAACATTAGGACTAATGGTATGCGCAATAATTTAATGTTCAATGTTACAAAACAGCCCATGTATGGAGAGCTCTTTAAAGGGCAGACAATTTCTGTGTCTCAGTTTAGTCAGATGGATGTGGACAGTAGTGTGTTTGGCTACAGACAGCAGGATATGTCTTCGCACATGGACTACTTTATGTGTGATGTATTTTACCCCAACACCGCACTGTTGTTGCGGAGTCAGCGACTCACCGTCATGGTGCGACCTCTCGTCAGGCAGAGACCCCTGGTGGCCATCCCAGGAACCTTACCCAGAATCACACTCAATATTCTGGATGCCAGGGAGCTAGCTAATATAACTAACAGTAATCCTCACTATGAAGTGATTGATGCTCCACGATTTGGGAAACTATTGTATCACATGCGGAGTAAGCGTGACACAAGTGATAGTGGACTGTTCTCCCCAATAGACAGTTTTACACATGAGGATGTGGCGTCAGAGAGAGTAATGTACCAGCCGGACAGTGGTGCAGGCACCAGCTGGGACCAGGACAGCTTCACTTTCCTTCTGACCGCCCCAGGTGTCCAGCCAGCGAAGGGCACGTTCCATATAGGTGTAAACCCCAATAAAGGGAAGGTTCCTTTGTCTGGGAGTGTTACTGTGACCCCACGTAGTCCTCACATGGACAATGACACTGACGGTGGAGTCACACCCAAACAGCTGGAGGTGGTCAGTCCTAATGTCAGTAGTGATTTCGTGATTGTTATAGCCATACTTATCCCACTTTTAGTGCTTATAGTGATTGTTACAGTTATTGTGTTTATTCTGTGGAGAAAACGACATGAAGGAGATTACTTACCTGGGGCTCAGAAATACCTGCGGCCGTACAATACCGGGTCAATGCATCAAATAGACCAGCCCCATGTGCATATAGCTCCTCAGTCTCCGTTGGCTGAGGACCAAACCAGACCCACACAGAGCTATTACAACGTCCCTGTTGGGAATGGTGCACAATCTGGAGACCACACCTACAATGGGTACAGTCATTCAGAGTTATCTCCCAACGACTGGGAGTTGCAAGCACCATTGTTAGACTCCAGTAGAACTGAGGTTAGCCCCACAGTGCCCGAGTGTAAGGTGACCCCTCTGGGCCACGAGGATGTGGACGAGAATTTATCTCTCGCTCCAAGTGCAACAGACAAGTCAACCACCAGCCTGGACCTATACAACTGGTCTCTATCAGACCCGGAGTTTATACAGCACTGTCGTACAACCACACCCGTCCTCAGGGAGAACCAGTACTGGGTCTAGGTGTAACCTGCCATTACATTACAGGGCTGATGAATTAAACCTTCATGTTCAATTTTCTTGATATTAATATTAAATAGGAATGTGTATTTTATACATTTATGTGTAATTTTTAAAAAATTGGGTATTTCTCAAAATGAATCTTAAAATCATAATTGATGTTACCGGTATGTAAAAGTATAACTCATGCCGTAAATTTAATCTAAATGCCATAACAATATTTACCATGATTTTTATACTTTGGTCAATATGTTTACATATCCAAATTAATGAGATATGGAAATGGTGTTTTCCGATATGCTGCCCCATTTTTCATGGTATTTGTATCCACACATAAGTGTATAATATATATACAGACCTACTTACAGCATATTGCCTGCAGTCTGAAAATGGTTTCTGTTCGAAGAAACTTGGTACTGTAGTGTATATGATGATTATTATAATTAGGTACTAAGATTTCACCCTAAATACCCTCTCACACTACTTTGTATGTATACAGCATGACTTACTGACATCTACTGAACATTTTACGTGCAGTATGTAAATGGTACTGTCTGAATCATTTGGTATACTTATATATTACCAGTCTTGTATATATACATGTATAGTATGTACTTACACTGTTAAGACGCGACATTTTTGTCTGTTGATCATTATGACATGTAAGGCTTATCCGTTTATGATAGCGTTGTATGCACCCTCCAGTTAAACCATTTAAAGGGTTCCTTTAATTTACTCTTCACAACTATTGTAGTCTTGTAGAAAATTTCTCAAGATTTTGTGTACACTTTGTAGAAGTGGAACTAATAATGAGAGGAATCTAAGTTGTGGTACAGTATAAAAATACAGGAATGTTGGATTCTTTGTTGACCCTAACTGATATTAATCGTGTAACTCTTACTGTGATTTTTCCATATCTTTGTCTTTGTTTTGATGAGATTCTTTAATATTTTTCATGTTTTGAAACATAGCATATTTGGCTTTTTGGATGCGAGATACAGGCACTTGTATAAATGATTATGCTAGTCACTAAGTTAGTATAGAATTATCTGATTATGTTAATGTATATATGCCTATTGGTGTTAACAGCTTATTAAAATTAGTCGCTACATGGAAACCACCACGAATGAATTGATTGATCTAAACCTTTGATTTATTACAATTTTATTTTTACACATTTGTGTTCGCACTGTCTGTGTTGAATTTTGAGATTCAAGATTGTTGGATATCTAATACCATGTATTGGGTTATTTTCGTTGTTGAGTTCATCACAAAATTTATCCACAATTAATATGTTAGAAGTTTCTGCGGTTGTTAAGGTAGCAATATATAAACATCATCAGTTTTGTAGGTTAACGTGCGTAACTACTGGTCCATCAGCTTTTGTCAGTTAACGGGCGTAACTACATACTGGTCCATCAGACTTTGTCCGTTAACTGGCGTAACTACTGGTCCATCAGCTTTTGTCCGTTAACGGGCGTAACTACTGGTTGTCCGTTAACGGGCGTAACTACTGGTCCATCAGACTTTGTCCGTTAACGGGCGTAACTACTGATCCATCAGACTTTGTCCGTTAACGGGCGTAACTACTGGTCCATCAGACTTTGTCCGTTAACGGGCGTAACTACTGATCCATCAGACTTTGTCCGTTAACGGGCGTAACTACTGGTCCATCAGACTTTGTCCGTTAACGGGCGTAACTACTGGTCCATCAGACTTTGTCCGTTAACGGGCGTAACTACTGGTCCATCAGACTTTGTCCGTTAACGGGCGTAACTACTGGTCCATCAGACTTTGTCCGTTAACGGGCGTAACTACTGGTCCATCAGACTTTGTCCGTTAACGGGCGTAACTACTGGTCCATCAGACTTTGTCCGTTAACCGGCTTAACTACTGGTCCATCAGACTTTGTCCGTTAACCGGCTTAACTACTGGTCCATCAGACTTTGTCCGTTAACGGGCGTAACTAATGATCCATCAGACTTTGTCCGTTAACGGGCGTAACTACTGGTCCATCAGACTTTGTCCGTTAACGGGCGTAACTACTGGTCCATCAGACTTTGTCCGTTAACGGGCGTAACTACTGGTCCATCAGACTTTGTCCGTTAACCGGCTTAACTACTGGTCCATCAGACTTTGTCCGTTAACGGGCGTAACTACTGGTCCATCAGCCTTTGTCCGTTAACGGGCGTAACTAATGGTCCATCAGCCTTTGTCCGTTTGATACACACATGCATGTACACCCACAAATGATCAGGCTATCTGGGAAACGGAAGTTCGATTATTATGAAGTTTATGTTTTGTGGGTGTGTTTTTCAGGAATTTAAAAATCAATTAACTTCATTTTGAACTGTCAAATTCGGAAAAGTGACCTGTTATAAGGTATTACATAAAACTGTTTGTGACTTGTGTTGAATTTGTAAATTCTTCGTACAACAGATATAAAAATGTTACTGTAAGATACACTGAATACAGTACTGTAGAATCCCGCTTTTAACCAAATTACCCTGTTTTACCGTAGATTTAGAATCTGACTTCCAACTTGATCTGGTACCACTATCATAGCATTGTCTATAAAACCCTTGCTTTGCATTTAATTAAAAAACTTCAAATAAGTGGTTTTCTTTGAATAATGTATTTGTTGAATAAGTGTGTTTATATTCTATTCTCAACTTTATTGTAAAGATCTGAAATCCATTGTTTACTTTTATATTGATGTCAACTCTGAAATCTCAAATGAGGGAGGTCTCCCTCTTTTCACATCGAAGATGAGGGTGAAATCGCATGGAACACGCCTGTAGCACTATTTATTGCTTGATCTATTTCACCTTATTTATGCATCAAAATGACTCCAGAAAGCTTAAATATTACCTTTACACAGATGCTAAAGGCTATTCCATCCCCTCTTACAACTTGGGAGATCATTTGACCTGAAAATTGGGATTTTTAGTGTGTCAGCTTTAATTTGAAGGAAGGAAATTTTGTCATAAATTAAGCTGGCTTGAGGGAGTCTTCCTATTAACAAGGGAGGTTGTCAGCTTATTTTTTTTAATGAGTGTGTATATTGTCAGTTAGAGTGAACGTAAAAATACTTGGAAGTGTATAACTGGAAAACGGCCTTCTGATAGAATTATAAACCGAGGTAGGAAGCTGGATAAATGGCCTTCTGAGAGAAATATAAACCTAGGTAGGAAGCTGGATAAATGGCCTTCTGAGAGAAATATAAACCTAGGTAGGAAGCTGGATAAATGGCCTTCTGAAAGAACTATAGGTGTAAGATTGGGAGTATTTCGAAACCTTGTTTGCCTTCAAGTTGGTAATTATAATGTTCAGTGTAGGGGAATACATATTATAATACTGTATGTAACGGAATTTTGGTAAATAGGAAATAGCATATGAAATCCTTGATGAGGAGGGTACATTGTTTTTCCACTCAAATTGATACCTATATGTATGTTTTAACAAATACTGCTTATAACAAACTCCTACTTCTGGTTGGTACCCTCACTTCCCAGAGCTTTATTATAAAGGTGCTTTACGGAGGAAGAAACTGCATGAGATTCAGGTGAAGTCGTGTAGTAGTCCAGTAGATGCACAATTTGGAAATATATAGATAGCTCGGAAAAAAATAACAAGTCTGGTAATAATGTTTCCCGTTTTGTTTTGTTTTATGTTAATTTGCCTTCTGTAAGTATTTGTCCTATGTTTTAAATGTGATTTGTTTTTTCATATGGTTCTCAGGAAGAGATTTTCACACTCTAATGTGTCGTTAGAGAAGTTTTTAACATGTTAATTGAGGGTCAGTAAATAATGTGGTACATGTAATGGTTTGGCTAATAATTTTACTCATTTTAGAATAGGTGTACTCTCTGAATGAGGTAACTCGGATACAAAAAAATGTTTCTCGCAATTATTTTTCTAAATATTTGATGTTTTATTCCTTGTTTTATTTATCTTCAATAAAAATGTTTTTTTTATATTGTCACAAAAAAACAATATACAAAAAGTTATTTTTTGGGGGGATTAAACACTAAATAAGCAGATAACTCTTGAATTTTGTTTTCACTTTTTTTGAATTTCATTTATTTACTACAGTTTATAAGCTTACAACTTCAATTTTTTTTAAATATTCAATCATGTTCATGGAATTCTCTGATTTTGTATTTTTTTATCGTACTTGTTTTAAACATGAAAATTTGACAGTTAAATAAATTAAGTTAATGATTAGTTGGAAGTTTACCTGGTAAATTAATTACAGAAAACATAATTTTTGGATTGTTTTACACTTTGTGCATGTTTTATAAGGTACTGTATGTACAAAGAATATTAAAGAGAAAAACACTTACCATAATGGTACATATTATGGTTATAAATGAAAGAAATTTGCAAAAGCTATATTTTGGAAATGTGAAGGCTTGATTAATTTTTCATCAAATTTTGCAGTACAAATATATATGGAAGCAATCAATTTTCCAGTTCCCTATGTATTCAGTGAATTTTTCTTTAAAGCTGAACTCTTGATACAAATGCTTTTAGAAGAAGAAACGTTTTATCTCAGGAATGTAGACACAAACCCTGTTTATAAGAGAGGTTTATAAATAAGACAATATATTGTCGTAGTTGTATAATAGATCGTAATAATTGATAATAAATGACAGCCGTTGTGAAACTTCATTGTGTGAACACAGTATGGAACCTGGGTGTTGAGTGTTGTTATAATTGACACACTGTTTAAGTATTATCAACAAAACTAGTAGGTGTAGGTTGTAATACATTTCATCAATTGACAAAACATATTTTAAAGGAAATAATAATTTGTAGGGAAAATCTGTGTTAGTATCTTGAATATTTGACTACCGATTTTCATCAAATCAATAATAATTAAATGAATTTTGTCTTATAAGGACTAAGTATATAGTTTGGGCTTTTTTGGTCCCCAAATTTATCTAATTTTAAAACCTATAAATAAATTTTCAAATAACTACTGTTTCTTAAATTTTATATACACCCCATTACTTTTATGAAAGGATTTAATTGTAGTTGTCATTGAAACGAGTTCAGATAAGTAGGGGGGAAGTATTTAATTAAAAAAAAAATGGTTTGAAAGTTCCATTAAAAGTTTTTTGCTTTTAATTAGTGATCATATGTTCAGTTGTTTACTTCTGTTAAAGGTTGGAACGTTGGTTTTGTTTCTGTACGTCATTAAGTGGGTTAATTTGTAACAGAGTGTCGGACTATTGTAGTATTTTACATGTTTACCACTTGGTAAAGATACATAAATCTGCGTAGAATATTTATGTCCCGAAACGAAGTAGGAAGGACACAATGTTTTTACAACATTTAATCGCTTGTTCTTATTATTACCATTTATTACATTATATTTAATATGCGTATTGGTGCATTTATTTTGTTACTTTGTTTTTCTCTGTTAATATGAATCTGTTGTAAGCTGCTTTTGAGAGGCACATTACATTTTCCCCCCACACCTTTTTTTTTTTTTTTTTGCAACATGAAACTTAACTTAGTACCAATAAAAAGGCCAGTATTGATACACAATAGCTCATTATTATAATGAGAAAAAACGAGATAATTATTTCAGACCTCAAGTTTAAGTAAATTCTAAGTAAAACAAGATTGATAAAGGATACAAGGTTCATCTGAGACATATATATACAGGCAGGTGATCTGGATGTACAAGATTATGACGTTTTGAATGAAATGTGTGATAACTGTGATCGACCGGTTTTATAGCAAAATGGAGACATTCTGAATTACACCAATTGTGATTTGATTTATATGCCTTTTCACCGTGATATAAGACAAATATGCAGTCTGGCTAGTAGATGAGTGTTATTTATGTAATATTGGATACAATAGGAACTAAAAAGATCAATACAGGAATCTCCGAACATTTAAATAGACGTAAAAGTTTCACAAATTTATTTTATACCTGTGATAGGTAGAAATTTAAATGACTGCCATATTTTCTGAGGGACTGGTTTAGTTATGTCAACCAAATATATATTACAGCATTCCAAATGTAATCAGTGCAGAAATGCTGCTGTTTATTCCATGGTATTCCATATCTGCCCTGGAACAGATGTACATACTTAATTATAGTTAAGTAGCTTGTTTAGAGGCCAATTAAAATTCTACGCAATGGTTATGGCTTTAGGTAATATGTTGTGTCAACATTTTTTATGCTGTTTTTAACCCAGCTGATTTGTCAACCCAAGTCATAGAATAGATAGATTTTCTATAATCTTTCCTTTTGCTTGCATAAAAGGATTGGCCACTGGTCTGTGAGTATATATATGTCCTAAACATGAGGCCACAGTCATGTGACATTTAATCGGGCCTCTGACTGTCTAGGTCATGTGACATTGAATTGGACCTCAGTCTGTCAAGGTCATCTGACATTTAATGAGGCCTCTGACTGTCTAGGTCATGTGACATCGAATGAGGCCTCAACCTGTCGAGTTC